ATTGGCATATTCAATGAAAGGAAGTAAAATGAACAGAAACAGAAACGAAGAAGAGACTTGAGTATGTCGATATCCATAACTCTGTTTTTAGAATATATCATCGGAAATGCTAATGCCAACCAGAATTGTAATTATAAAACGACTTTGCTATATGTGAATTCATTACAAGTCAAACATTTCTTTGTTTTTTATAAGTAGTCTGTAATTTTCACACAAAGTAGCATTCTTTTCCTCTGTGGATAACTACGATTTATGGCTTACTTTTTTATTCCACGTGAAACGGACGAACAGGATTACACCATCCTCTTGCCGAAGCTCAGAATCAAATTGGAAGCTCGCTTGTTTGCTCCGGCTGAAGATAGCCAACTGCCAAAAAAGCGCTTGCTGCAAATCGTATCCATTTTGACAACCAGTTCAGGCGATTTGGAAATTCGACCACATCAGAGCAGTTTTACTAAGAGTATTTTAAAATCAATGGTCAAAGGTTCCTTTAAGTTATTGCAAGACACAATAATCGACTATTTGGACAAATACGTAATCGGTCTGCTGAACGATCAAGTGAAACAATATCACATTACACCTTTGTTTGTGACGCAGGGAAGTGACGACACCAATAACGACGACAACAGAGGCTTATCAAAGCGCTCATTGGCGGGTGTGAAACGAAGATCCGGTCGCAGCCGATACCTAATTGCAGCAAACAATATGGTGATGAATTGAGGAAAAGCATAACTATGATATTACATTGGCAAACGAAATAGCAATTTTCTTTACAGAATCAAATTTTATTCCCTACTGTGCATTCGACTCACTCAAATAAAAACAGTAAAACAAATTCACATTGGTTTTGGTGTTTGAGTAAAATACCTACCATGAACACATCCTATTTTTTCTAATAGTTCTTGGGTTTTGTTGCTGGATTTCGATAATCGGGAAAGTCGACGTGTGGGAATTACATTCGGCCACGGAGATGCACCGTAATCGACATTTGGATGAGGTAAACCCAAGGTGAGAAACCTTTGAAAAAACCACGGTAACCAATGGTAAATTATCAATCTTTTTAAAAAAATATATTCCTTCTTTTGATAACCGAAATGTAGTGACCTACAAGAGAATTTGTGCGAAAACTGTATTTGTTTTCCTTCCACAATAAATTTTCTGTACAAGGTTGAATCAGAACAAAGTGCAGGCGAGCATATGTTCCGGGAAAATTTATCCTCAGTCCTGTACTGTTACGTATTTTTCCAGACTGAATGATGTCTAAGGTCAAACAGACGGAAGAAGATGTATTGCGGATCGGGCAAAATTAGTTCCCCATATTATGCCAAGTTGCAGTGCGCATATTGATATTCTCTCCATTGAAGCGCCCAAGTATTTCTGGATGAGAAAAAGGAAGAAACGTTCTTGTATAGGACCTTTTGAGCCCCCTAATTGGTTTTCACTACAAAGGTCAAGAGCGCACCCTTTCTATTCGACTGCACCAAATACACATACTTTAAGAACTTGTTAATCATTTTTTCAGTTATGTGAGCCAAACAGCAAGACTTTTTGTTCTCTCGGCATTGTTGGTTCTCCCCGAAACCAGGACCTATGCTCAGATGACAACATAAGACCAGTATAAAAATACGTGACAGTAATGTGAACTATAGTGAACTTACCTAATAACGTGCGTGTATGCGGGTAAATAAGTGCTCAGCTATGTATAAATGTATGTAGGAATTTATGTATAATTGCATACACTTGTTAGGAAATATTACTCACTTGTGATTAGTTCGCAAAACGATGCGATTTGCGGTTTCTTTCAACGACTAAAAATGAACAAGACCTGGTTTTGCGAACTGCTGGTGTTCAGTATGGTAAATACAAGAATGCGCATCTAACAGAGGACCGTTCCATCAACTATCCTGTGTGAGTGTGGGAATTCCGAAGACTCGTTCCGAATGAGATATTTTGTTATATGAATGACAATTTACCGATACCATGACCGTTCTTCGTAACAAACAACTATCGCCCACCGCTCACCGCCCCCGGGAATTACAACAGACGTATTCGTGTTTTCATGGATTGCGCTCACTCATTACCTTTAGGCGTGCATTTATCTTACGTTTTTACTCACATTATAATAAACATGTTCATGTGTACATAACACATTTTGCGATAGATAAGGTGAACTGAAAAGCTGAAACACACTGTACTGTTTGTAGCATAAATGATGGTTTCACTTTGGAATAACAGTATTTATCAATTGATTACTTTTCAGTAATCTGTTAGAATCAAGTCAATCGTTATCGCATACAGCTAGGCCTCACGGGCTGATTTTGTCGATCACCTATACTATTTACCGCGGAAAAGTTCAGATAAATTAATTCGAACAAAATACTTATGGAAATCAAAATGATCACTCCGATGATCTGAAAAATAATATTAAAGACCTCTGAAACTGCCTGACTATAATTTATACCTATTTTCGAACCAACAAAATGCATGCCCCGATAACAATATACGTTGCCGAGCGAACGAGAAAACACATGAGGTAGATTGTTAACTCAGTAATAGCTAACCCCGCAATCACCACTCTTGTAAAATGTTTGCGCAACGGTTGGCGTTTCCTGGACCAGGTTCAGATTAAAAATATGGGGCTTGGGAAACTATATTTTGATATCTAGATACCGTTAGAAGTTGCACATTGTATTATCTTTGTGCTACAGTGGCGCACACATTTTGTCACCTGTTACTGCATATTTGGGTTTTACACATTTTTATACTTAATAAACAATGGCAATAAATGTCAAATTTTCATCATTGTCGTTTCCAACTAAATCCAAAGGCAAATGACAAAAGTGGAAATTTAGAAAAAACCGTCTGTGTAACGTGGAAGTGATTCTGGAAGAAAGGTGCCATTCAGACAATGTGGTACCTCAGGGTTCACACATCTCAAGAATGTACGGATTGCCGAAATTCAAAAGACCGGCAATCCCATTACGACCAACCCTATCAGTGATTAGTTCTGCTGAACTCGAACCAGTTCAATGCTTTGCCAAACTCATAACTCCATCAGTCCCACACTGCCCAGGATATAATTCAAATAGAAGAAGCAATACAAATATGTAGATTACCACGGTTGTTTTCTTGCCTCGTATGAGAGTACATCGTTGTTCATAAATGTCCCGGCGCAGAAAGCCGTGAACGAAATGTGTAAACATGCCGGTGAAATAGGTTTGAAACCCTGCGAAATGTGTGTTTGTGAAGTACTGTTTGTCATCCGCGGCAATATGTATAAAATAATTGATACATTAGCTATAGGTAGCTGTTTGGGGCCAGTAGTGGCCGATATCTGCTTGTCAAAATTTAAAAGCAAACGAGTTGGAACTGAATTCAACCGCACTATATAGGCTATATTTTGACGATACATAAGGTTATCTCATGCAACGAGATAGTTGTTAAGACAATATTTCACAACTTGAACTGGCCGCGTCCCATTATCAAACTGCCATTAAAATTTGAGTGTGAATCCAAAATTCTATTTCTTGAATCATTGCTCAGTCGATTGTCAGACAGGAAACTTCAAATTTCTGTATGTCTCAGATCTAAATAGACAGGACAGTACTTGCATTTCAGGAGTTCCTATCTTGTGGGATGCAAACGAGTTCTAATGCGTACTCTATTTCACAGGGTTCGCGGACTACGCAATCCGCAAGTCCTGGGAAGTAGACTAGACCGATTGACCCATGCTTTATAAGACAATAGTTTTCGTCTTGCTTTCATTCAGAAATACAGCATTGTGATCAGCTCCAGGAACATTTTTTAGTAGCTAAGATGAAAGACGTCTGCATCAAACTAACTTTCAAAAGGGGTAATGTGACAACCATAATGTCTTCATTTAACACACGCTATGGAGAGAACGTACAACAGCGCTAGACTAATGATTCATTTTGAAGCATTTCGTTGTGTCGCTCTCACTATTGTGGATCGAGATGTTATTGTTACCTCCAACTATATATATATATAAATGTATCTGCGGTCAGAAGTAAGTTTACCTTGAGATTTTCGAAAGTGATAGTTAATCAGCGTAGTCGTGTGCCAAAAAGCATTTGTGACGCAACTGCTGTTGCCGTGGTAGCGTTGATGTCACGTTTGATGGCAGTCTACCGCAGTGTATACGATGACCTTCCTTTCCATTCTATCCACCAAATTCACCAAGTGTTTTAAACAGGAGAAATCGATGACCCATATCGATTCTGCTCACATACTACTACTGCTAATACTATTACTACTACTACTACTACTACCATTTTTAGACATAAGTATTGTTCACAAACGGAATTTTTCTACTAGCAAGAAACCAATATAGACTGGACAATACCTACATCTTTACAAATTCAGTGGCATGCAAAGCCAACGTGAACCAATTCGAATAATCGTTGAAAGAGCTAGATTAGTACGTGCATCTAAGGCTCTTCAACCTGAGGGACAACATATGGATTAGGTACTGAATATCATCAGCTGTCTTTCTGAGGTTATCCGGGGCATAGTATGTGTAAACAGCAAATAATCTAGGTAACATTGTTAGGAGAGCTTGCAGTCAAACTGAAGCTACCATTCAAGAATGATGGTGTAAAGCTAAAGTTTCAGTAATTGACTTCATTCAGCCGCTGATCGCAATTCCCTACCTCTCAACAAAACAAACACGAGTGCGGTGGGAGGTAGAGAGTTGCGTCAATGAGCAGCCGAGTATATTTTTAAACATACTTCAGTTTTAGTTCAGTAAAATGAGCATTGTTGACTTCAAAGACTACAACGATCCACTCACATTGACACGCAACATACCAGAAGACAGTTTCTTCTACAAAAGCGATACTGAAATACAGATTACAATAGTGTAAAATATGCAAACCTCAACCCTTGGCACTATCCGGTATGGCGAACACCAAAATCTGTGAAGCCAGTAATTCGACAAGCAAGAACTGCGTGCAAGCAGTCGCCTAACGCGATAACAGTGGAACGAACACACGGAACAATGTCAAACAAGATCACATGCATCTGTTTTAGTCAATGATGGGAAGTGACCAGGAGAGAACCAATGGAAACACAGTGGGTATGAGTGTTAGTCATCAGGGCCCACCGTGATATCATAGTGTGGTAAATCTGTGTGTGCGTGTACACAGACGCAAGCGTCAGTTGATCATGGGCAGAAATCGATGAGACACTTGAGACCAACAGAAGAGGCAATGTAGCGGAGCAAACATGCGAATGGCGCGTGAGTACGTGTAAACGGTGTAGAGAATAGTCAATGGGAAGATGAAATCAACAGCATCAACAACAACAAAGTAGGAAGATGGACGATAAGATAGTGATGCGCGATGTGTTCAAGTAAAGAGTGTCAATTTTAGGCAACATTTATTCAACAATCTTGAACTAGGAGCATCGTTCAGAAATCTTCCACTAGGTCGATAATAATAAGTCATTCAATATTGCCCATGGGTCAAGGTTCACAATGGTTCCGGAAGGACGTCGCACAATTTCACAATTTCCAGTTACAGTCAATCTTCCGCTATGTCGCACCCCTGAGAAGTCGCATTTTCTAGTATTTTCCCAAAATTTTGGAAAATCTAAACCAATCGCATGCCTAATAATGCAGTTTATGACTATGCGATTTGGCACCCCTCGATATGTTGCACTCCCCGATATTTTCTCACTGGGTCGTTGACCAATGTTCGGGA